CCGCCAAGGCCCTGGGGTCGACCCAAACCAGAGAACTCGAGAGCCGCAAACGCGTGAGTACGGCGCACTGCGGGAAGGTCTGCGCGGCCCGCCCCAGCAAAGCGGCGCGGCTCAATGAGAAGGACGAGCGGGCGTCTTCCGCCCGCTTCGGGGGACCCCCGTTTGGCCAGCCCGGGGCGGTTTTGCTCGGCTGGGACCCGCCCCACGGGGAGGCCAAAGCGGGGATTCGCGCGAGGTCGCGTCGGCCCTGTCTTCCCGAGGGCGTGGAAGGCGGGGAAGGTCGGCGGGACGGCCCCGCGAAGCCGAAATCGGCCGAGTCCCACCCGCTCTCCCGCCCTGCAATGCCGCAACGCCCGTCTTTCCCGAAGATTTCCGTCTTTCACCGGGTCGACGCGGATGAAGGCATCCCGACGGCGGAGAGCGAGCGGAAGGGGGGGGCTCGCCCTAAACCGCAGCGCGAGGCGGGCACTTTCGACCACGGCGCCTCCGCGGAGACGCGCCGCAGCCGGGCCGGGCCGGAGGAGGCGCCGCCCACGATGTGGGATATCCTCCACAACCACGACGGGGAGCCCAAACCCATGCATTACCCCCACTTTCCCAATGAGGATTACTACTACAACGAGTACGAGGACGATTACGTGGAGAGTCGATCGCTTAGCCTGTGCTGGGAGAACCCCCAGACGCCGCTTTTGGTCTGCCCGAGGCCCATCGCGCCGAGTTTTGACGTCTTCTCCTACGCCCCCTCTCACCCGTCCGCCGCCTCGGCGAACCGGCCCTCGAACCACCCACGGGCGGAATTCGATCGCAGCGCCCTCACTTCCCGCTCCTTTCCACCGGATCTCGCCCGGGTTGGGGTGGAAACGACTATCGATGCCGGCGTGAGGCCGGTGCCGCATCCAATCGCAGCGGCGACCCAAGCGGCGAAGATGGAAACCCGACGGAACAGCTTTACTGAGGATCAAAATGTAAATAATCACGCGCCGCACGCCGGGCCGTGCTTTTCCCGGTCGTTTTTCCATCCTTCACCGCTCGGGATGCCGGAGCCGGAGCGACTTGCCGGGGGCCATTTGCCAACCACGATCCCGCCCATGCAGCTATCCACCCCGGTTACTGGCGATCTGCGCGATACCACGCGGCATTCCTCCGCAAACCAACCGATCCGCCAAAACGAGGAGGAAAAGATCCTGCCCCTCTCCTCCTCGACCCCGCCGCCGAGCGAGCTGTTCGGCGCGCGCCATTGCCAACCACAAAATCCATCATCCCTGTTGATCTCGTCCTCCTTTTCTTTCGCGCGCGCGGCCGTTGAGGGCCATTTTGGCGAATTACCCTCCCCCTCCTTTCTTCCTTGCGCGGGGGAGTTTTCCGCTCACGCCGGCGGCAAAGTGCATTTGGGGAGTAATGGCAATAGCCGATTGGCCGATCGGACGATGCCGGCCTCGGAAAGGGCATTTTTGCCGAGTTGTGCTTCTGTCAAGCCCTCCAGCGTCTTTTCCACGTCTTCGTCAAAATGGAATCCTACAATGAATAATCCTACCCAAAGCATGGAGAAAAAACAAATGGAGGATATAATGCGCGAATCCGTTCTAAGGAATGATCCCAAAGACGCAAAAGAAGAGGGGGAGGTCTATTCGTCTCTGCAAAAATCTTTGGAGTCCCTTTGTGTGCTTCATTCGCCGAATAAACTGACGCCTCAAAAATTACCCAGCGGCCTTCGTAAAGCCGAGATGAACTCGGAAAACTTCCACGTGTACTACGCCTTCGCCAATTGTCAAGGGCATCGACGAAAACAAGAGGATTATGTGGTGATTTTACCGGAGATTAAAGTTTCTTGTAAAAAATCCACCAAAAACAACAACGAGGAAGAGGAAAAGATGGCAGTTGACAATGATTCAAGCGCGGGGGCACAACCATCCTATGTGTGCTCCCCCGAGCAGACGATCTTCGCGGCGGAGGGTAAATTCAGCACAAATCGCCCCCAATCCCAAAGCGTGATCGCCACCGAAAGGGATTTTTTCGAATCCCCTTCACCTTTTATCGAAAAGAAGCCGCCAGGTGAGTTTTCTTTGGGTTGTTTTGCGGTCTTTGATGGCCATGGCGGTGATGACGTCTCGCGGCGGGCGGCGCATTACTTCGCCCAGCACTTCCAAGCCGCCTTTCAAGCGCACTACCAACTCATTGAAGATAATTCAACGGCGAAGTCCCCCAGCGGCGAAAAGATCCCGCAAGAAAAGGTCAAAAAGACCGCGAGAGGGCGAATGTGGAAACATTATCGTACGCGGCTGCTGAGCGCGGCGTTAGTTCAGTCCCTTCTTCACATCGATTTTACCATTTACAAGCGGCTTTGCAATGATATTGCGCAGAACCGACAACACTTTTCGGGCGTCCATGCGGGATCAACCTCCTGCATTGTGGCGTTTTATCGCCCTTCCGACCGCGAAACGCCTCGGAAAGGGAAGCCAACCCTGATGAATCGATCCACCTCTTGTAATGCACCTTCCAGAGCCAATTTTCTTCATCAAAGTCTTCGACTTGGTAGTTTGCCACCCCCCGCTTTGGGCGAGAATCCAAAAGAGATGTGGGGTCCGCCGAATAGCAGGGGCTTATCCTCGTCCAACTTCAGAGGCGGTGATGAATTCAACTCACCTCTTCACGAGCGAACGCCACCCTTTCCCGACGGTGGGTTCGACCCTGTCGAGGAACCCCATCCCCGCCTGAAATGCGAAAAGCCCCTAAACGACAAGGCAAACCGAAAAGCCAAACCCCACAACAACTTTGACGACGACGACGAGGAGGAGGTGGAGGTGGAGAGGGATCTTAAGCGCGGCCCGTCCACGCGATTATCCATCGCCAACCTCGGCGATTGTCGGGCGGTGATCGGGGCCCTCTCCACCGGCGCGCTTCTCTTTCAAACGTGCGATCATCGCGTGCGGAGCTGCCCTGGCGAGACTTCGCGAATTAAAAAAACGGCGGGCGAGTTCTCTACGATAGCGTCGAGGGCTCTCTGGACATCACGCGCGGACTCGGTGATTACGATTACAAAACGAATCCTCTCACTTGGTGGGAGCAGGAGGCGGAGAAGAATGAGGAAGAGAGCCCGTCAAATGCGAAACCGCCTTCCCATAGCACAAAAATAAATCACAAAGATGATGCCCCTAAGGGGGATTCTTCGGAAGAACCTTCCCGTGGATTTACCAATCCACAGTATGGGGGAAATATCATTAGCAATATTGCCGATATCTACGAGTGTGAGGTCCGCCATCATGATTTTCTTCTCATTGCCTCGGATGGGGTCTGGGATTATATGTCTTCTGCGGAGGTCACGGCCTTCGTCGCCAGCGAGCTGCGTAAACTCCTGCAGGAGGAGCTTAGGCAATGGAAAACGCAACATTTAAAAGCCCCCGACACGATCCCGCTCGCATCTGCTTTTCTTGTTAATGATCGATCCTTTATGGTTGAAAAGGAGTCATCGCACGAACCTCATTTGAGCTCGTGTAGGGATCTCATCAAAGCGGATTCAGAGCGGTTCACTAGAGAGGGGTGGCAGCTCCCACAATCATCTAACGAGAGTCGGCATCTTGAGCAGAATTGTAGTATTCCAAATCACCCGCGCAGGATCTTATCGGAATCGCTGCAATATCACGAAGAAGGATGGCTAAATGGCGTTTATTATGGATACCCTTCCTTGCAATCTCCATGCCCTTCCATAATGCCTGCACCTACAAGTGTGCTTAACGATAGCAAACCTCTTGTGGAGATTAACCACAGCTTTGTTAACGAAAGGCCAAACAACTACCTAGACCCCTTTGGCAATTTTAGGGATAAAATATGGAAGGAAGCGCCTGAGGAGATTACGTCAGCCTTCACACCTTCATTAAGGGCATTGGGGAATGACAAAGGGGGGCGGTTCCTTAAGAACGATAATACTCTATCACCGGCGGTGCGTCCAGTTGATGGGTTTCAGCATTCATCGCCGATCCCAACAGACCCCACTTATGATAAAAGAAAAGATAATTTTTCTTGCCTAACACCTCTGCCTAAACCACAGAAAATGAATCCCTTAGGCATTGATATAATAAATCGTGACAATAGTATAATTCCTCCATTAAATCTCACCCCCTCAAAGACATTTGGAGGGAATCAAACTTCACGACATCGTTTGATTTTACAACGCGCGGCCAACAACCTTGCTGAACATGTGCTTTTCTCCTTGAATGGTGGGGATAACATAACGGTAATTCTGGCATTATTTTCATTTTCTCCCGAAATGACTCCTGAAGGATTAGAGGAGTTTTTATATCAGTGATGGTTTTAAAGACTTCACCGAATAGGCGATAGTCTATGCGACATCTCTTTATTATTACTGAGGTTATTAACTCACTCGATTCCGTGATTTGATTCGACAGAAACAGGGCGGCAGGGTTGGTTCTCCTAATTAATTTTTTCTCAACCCCATGCGTCCTTGCGATTTAGGTCTCCTTCCCTCCCACACACCAAAACAAACAAACGCACTCATGATGCCTCCCCCTCTCCATTACCGTGAGCTTCTTCACATGTGCCTTCAAACCCTCTTTCCAACCCTCTCCTGCTGTTACACCCCCCCCCTTTTCCTTTCTCTTCTTTTCCTGTGTTCGTTCTAAGGTTGAACTCACGACCTCACTGTGTAACGGGCCACCCAGTCGGATTGGGCCCTTTCCCTCACACGGCGCCATTTGTAACAGCGGCCTCTGTAGCCTCTCTGTTCTTCACCTGGTGCCATTTGTAACAGCGGCCTCTGTAGCCTCTCTGTTCTTCACCTGACGCCAGTTGTAACAGCGGCCTCCACAGCCCTCCTGTTCGATCCCTTCCCCACACCCGAGGCCTTTCGGGGGTGTTGTGACTGCTCGTCCCCAGCAGAGTCGAACCCCGCATCCGCCGTGTGCCCGGGCGAGGCCGCGAACGACGCCTTTCATGTGGCCCCCACCTCCGGACCTGCTCCTCGCGCCGTTATTGGCTACCCCTCCGCTGCACGTTTTTTTGGCCATCCTGTGCGGGGTGCTCTTTGGGCTTCTTGTGCGCATGACCATGCCGCGTTTTCCCGGGCTTCGGCTGCTTTCGTATTTCACCCGCACCGGGGGGGATTATATAGGGATCGGCGAGGAGACAAAGATGAGCCTCGTCGTCCGCCGGGACCTGCGGATGGGGGCGGGGAAGGTCGCCGCGCAGTGCGCGCATGCCGCGGTCGCCGTCGTTGAGGAGATCCTCGCGCTGAAGGCCGCCTGCCATTCAGGGCACGGGAGGGAACTTTATCAGGAAGAAGAAGATACGCCGGAGGGAATCCAGGCAGGTAGAGGCTCACACGCCTGGCTGCGATGGTATGCGGCCTGGCGGACGAGCGGGTGCGCGAAAGTTGTCTTACAGTGCGCAGACGAAGCCGGGCTGCGCGAGATTGCCGCGCGGGCGAAGGCGAAGCGGCTGCCTTTTTACATCGTCCGTGATGCCGGGCGGACGCAGGTGGTGGCAGGGAGCGCTACCGTTGTGGCCATCGGGCCCGGGCCGCGCGGCCTCATCGACCAAATCACCGGTGATTTAAAGCTATACTAACAGAGTGTAATAAGAAGGAATGTATGAACATAGAAAAAGGAAAGATCTACAGATGGGTGTCTTGCGCTCTCTTTTTATCCTTCGTTTTACGGAAAGACTGTGAAGATATGAATATCTATGATTGGTTTGTATCCTATTTCTTGTTTTTCAGGATTGGTATATCCATAAATAAACTTTCTAGGCATTTTGATTTATCCTAGGACAAAAAGATACCATTTGGGCAAATATTTTCATCATGGCTCAAAACCTTTTTGTAGCCGAGGGCATTGACATCCTTCGGCAGTCCGATGCGGAAGAGCGGGAGTTAGATAAATCACGATTGCGAATTAAAGGCGGCAAAGGTAGCGGCGAACAGCTTCTTTCTATCGTCCAAAGATACCAAAACCTATACCATCGGTGCGTTCAAGGGATGGAAATCCTAAACCACGTGAGGCATACTGCCCTCAGCGAGGCCGCTACGCAAAATGACCAGTACAGTCGAAAGATATCCAATTTTTGTACCCAAAAGATTGTAGATGGTGTAAAACAATGCAAAAGAATCACGAAAATGTTGGATAGCATCTCCTTTCCACTAGACCATGCGGATCTAATCAGGTACGAGGGCTACCTGGTGGAGAATTCTATCTTCCACCATGATGGCAAGCGATTTCCCCTTAAAGGAAAGGAAAAGATGCTCTCGCAGGAGTTCAACCTCACCGATGGTACCTACAACGTGTTGATCAAAAACCTTGACGACTACACGATCGCACGGCCGGAGGTTAGCGTCGTCTTCGCCCTCATTCCGCATGGTGAGGACCCAGCAGAGAGTTCTAAAATGGAATTTATGCTCTTCTGTGGCTGCGCGTGGGTCAAAACATTTGGGGTTTTCACCAATAATAAGTATCCCACATCGTTGCAGTTGCAGGTGCGCTCATCGGGGATGCGGGAATCTCATATTGAAGTGCACCTTCAGAAGTGGAAGCCGGTGGAGTGTGATTTATCCGCAAATGCAGGAGAAGGGAACTACGGAAAGCCCGCCAGCATCGGCGAGAATGCCCATTATTTTGATAATTTGGGAAATCTACCTTTAAAAGAAAGGAACGAGGCAGCGGACGGAGAGAAAAAATTGGGAAGCAACTGGATGGATGGGATTCCAACGCTGGGCGATAGCGAGTTGGAGACGTTGGCGGCGTTTAATGTTCCGCATTCGGAGCTCCCCAATCGTGATAATGATGTGAAGGATTTAACGGGAAGCCCAGCGTCAGCCGCTCTTTCTTTTCCAAAAAGTAACGATGGAAAAAATCCATGGGTGGCGTTGGAAAGCCTAAACGTACCCCACACAGGCGATCATGGAAGAACCGAATTTGCGTCGGTTCCCGCTCCAGTGGAGTATCGCCCGAAGGGTTTAAATTGCCGGCAACGGATGCAAATTTTGCGCGCAATGTTAAATGCCTGGCCGTCGGAAGGGAATGTCATGCTGGGCCTTCAAACGAACAGTCAGCAAATTTTAAACTCAGTTTATGCCCTTCCCCTTCCTACCGAAATCGAGTAGATCTAAATTTGCCGGTAAGGGTTAGAACAAATCGATCCTGTTTGTATCTCTCTTGGGTGTCTTCAAATTCAGAGGTGGGCCTCTATTCTAATCCCACCTGCTTTGCTGCTGCTTCTTCAAAAAAAGGAAAATCTGTGGGAATCTTATGGATTATCGCGCTACTTAGCACTTCCTTATTTCGTTCTATTTTAATGGAATTAGTACCAAACAAAACGTGCGCTCGAGATGTGTGATTTTATTTTTTTAATGGGTAAAAAATGGAAGGAACAAAGCTGCTTTATGGTGAATTCATACTTTGAAAATGTGCCTATTGCTTTAACAATTAAGGTGATCCCATGGGATCCTTAAAAAAAAAAACGCTCTGCGAATTGGTAAATATGGCCTCACGGGCCACTCAAGTTTGCGACTCACCGACACTTTATGGACTGGTATTATCGATTCGATACCCCTTTCACGCCTGTACTGTCTCTTTCTCCCTTTGTGTGGTCTGTGTGTGTGGGTGGGGGGGGGGTTAACGATAGCAACA